AGATGCATCATGCTGCTCTTCTGTCATACAGTGAGAAATCTGTGACTGCAATTCTTGCATACTCGTCAAGAGATCCACGGATAAAACTTGCTGAAGCAGAATTTTGTATTAATTTTTTTTTTTCAAAGGCATGAAATAGTGCGCCGCCTGGTGCTTTCTTCTCAAATAATTTGCAGACAATAAATCAGTGCAGAAAAAACGTACAGATATTTGCGGAATGGCTTTGATCTTCTGAATAATTCTGTCAGAAACATCAAGCGCTCGCCTCATCCCAGTGAACTTCACTCCTGCAATTAATGCATTTTTACTTATATTTTGGGTCTATCTAGTCATAAGAGCTTCTGCTGAGCTACGCCAATCGTTCTTCCCTCAACCTGCATGCCTCCAATTAGTACCCTTCATCCCAATTACGAGGTTTGCAAACTCATCTAAATCAGGTCGCCAGTAACATATAATGGCAAGTAATCTAAAATAGAATGAAAATAATTAAATGCACTTACCAACAGATTCAGCTTCCGAAACCAGCGCCTCATTTTGCATTTTTAATGCCTCAGTCCTAAAACAAGAGGAAACAAGCCGTGGGTTGATTAATTTTGAGCACACGCATACAACTTACACATATAAGCCCACAGAAGAAAATAAATATGCAAAAACGCATAAAAACGAACTGCTAGGTTCTTCTTCTTCTTCTTCAAAAAAAATGAATTAGCCCGCTTCGTAAAATTCTAACAAAAACTGACGTTTATTAAAAAAAATTCATTTTCTTAACACGTTTTTAACAAGAGATTTTTTAATTTTAACAAGAAAATTTATAACAAGAAATTTTAATAAGAAAGAAATAAACAAATTTTCTAACAAAAAAATTTTTACCAACACGACTGAATCAATTACCAATCGAGTCACAAGCAAGCATTTTTGTCTTTCCGGAAACAAAAACTAATCCAAATAACAAATTTTTAATGTATGCGCCAAAACTTACGGCTGGCGGTTTTCTTGTGCATCGAATTCCATCGATCGCAGCTGACTGTTCGCCACAACCAGCTGATTACGGAGTTCTTCCATTTTTTCATTCAGATGTTTGAGCATACGGGAGAAGAAATTATACAGGCGCTCCAAATCGTTTGCTGTGAACGAACTTCTAAAATTTTCACACTTTTTTTTAAAAATTCAGGAACAGTCACAAACACATTGTTAGCAACCCCTGTTCATACAGTTTTTATTCGCCCTAAGGTAACTTAGTTCCGCTCCAGTATGTACTGCCTCTTCTTAACTTTTTCCATGGAAATGTGAACTTACAAAACTTTGAGCTCAGTGTGTGGAAATACTGTCAAACAGCAGCTATTCGAAGTAATTCTGACGAAAAAGTCCCTCAAAGACAATCAAAATTAACACGACTCGTTGAGAACGACCGTAAAAAAATCAATAAAAATCACAAAAAAATAAATCATTAGTTACAAAAAATCACAAAAATCATAAAGTCATAAAAAAAATTAGTGTTGGATGTCACCAGCTTATGTTTACCTGTCCTCAGACACACTCTGTTCCTGCCATTCCGCAGCAAGAAGGTACATTCGCTTTGCAAACGAAGACAGAGCGGCGGTACTATCTGTTTGTTCAAGTTCTCGCGCAGTCAGTGAAGTCATTGTACCGACAGTCTGAAGAAAAAAGTATATAAATCGAGTTCCCCCTTAAAAACAGACCCTGAAAGTAGGGATGAAAATAGCGAAAATTTTACCGCTGTACACAAAACCGTTGAATAACTTTCTGCCAGTGAACTGCGGTTTCGATTTGCCAGTAAGTCTTCATATTTCCTTTCAGTTTCAGCCAGCGTTTTTGCCACTCGTTCAAACTGCAAAAGTATAATATAAAATGAAAAATTTGCATGTATTAACTTCTTCCGTTGCGGTTATTTGCAAAAAAACCTAACATTCTCCTTGATACAGCTATTCTTGATGGATAACTGCTGCAGCTCCATCTCCAGTGTTTTTCTCGAGCGGCGCTCTGCGCGAACCTCTTCCTCCAAATCTTGTACTTTTTGCTGACAGTCATTATACTCTCTCTGAAAGATAAATTTACAAGTTATGCAAGGAACATTTCGAAATTCATTGACTATTAGATGCGAAGGCGCCAAACCCGTCATCAGCTTACTTCTAAGCCACCAAAATTTGTTCAGAGGCAATCTGACGGCAGGTTTGACTTTTTAACATTCGCTAGTGCTATTTTGTTATAGAAATGAATGGACAATTTGTAGAGCGGGACAATTATCCTACTGGCGAGTCGAATTCCCCCAATCTTCTGCAAGAAAGCAGGATTTTTTGCAAGTGGGCAGCACTTTTTGCGTAGTAATATCAGTCAACTGAGCTACTTACGCAAAAAAAAAAAAAAAAAAAAAAAAAAAA